CCCACGGGTGCTCCTCCCTTCCCCAGCGCGCTCCTCCCTTCTCCCACGGATCTCCCTCCTCCCTGCGGCGTCGCTCCCTCCTCCCCTCTCCCCCGCGCGCTCTTCCCTCTCCACTGAGGCCCTGCAACTCCGCAGGCCTCTGGCTCAGGGGCCTGATGGGCGCTGCTGCCTCCACCCCACCCCCCACTGCCGGCCACCCGGCAGAGGAAGGAGGATAGAGAGGATGCCCCCCCTCTCCACCTGGGCCGCAGCATGGCCGGCCTGGAACTCAGTCCTGGACCCCTAAGAGTGCTGGGAACAGGGGGTGGCCTCACTTGGGCCCTGGAATTCTGGGGTCCGCCCTTCCGCCACCTGGCCCCTGGGACTGCCGGGTCCCCCAGATCGTCTCTTGAAGAAAGGGAATTCACCAAATTAGGGACAGGGCTGAGGAGCTCCAGAGATGGAGAGAGACCCACAGCCGCTTCTCCCGGGCGGGGCAGGGAGACACACCTGGCAGCAGGAAGTCAGGCAGGTGGCCATCTAGAGTCTCTAAGAGGAGAGCCCCCTAGGGTTCCTACTCAGAATAAGGTCCTCCCACTCTTCCTGAACTCTTCCATCTCCTAATCTGTGGAGCAGAAACCCCAGAGACACTGGGAGGAAACCAGGTGGACTCCTAAAATATTAACCCTTCGTGGTAATTGACTTTCCACTTGCATCTCTGAGCTGGGGAAACTGAAGGCCCGAAGGGTTGGGCTCTGTCCGCTCCAAACTCCCCAGCTACTTGCGGCTCCAGATCCCGAGCTGCAAGACTTCATGCAAGAAAATGCAACAACGTAGCAGGGAGGTTTTTAGAAAAACTCACAGTGACACAAAAATATTGAATAAAACTCCAACAGTGACCCAAATCCATATACATAGGGGAAAGACTAGAGGAAAATGTCCCCAAATGCTCACAAGAGTTTGCATTCCTTTGGTGAGATTATTATTTTTAAAAGGATCTAGCTTCCAATGGGGGAGGGGGCGTTTAAAACGATGACAGTGCTTTAATAAAGAGAACATTTGTTTTTCACAGAAAAACATGAAGGAGACTCGTGGTGATTGGGCCAGATCCAGAAAAGGTTTTTCCTCGCCCCTCTCCCACCACAACACAGAAACGTCCTTGCTTCCCAAGTATCTGCCCCCACCCAGATGCTATATGCCAGAAATTCCACCCCTGGAATCCTGTTAAACACTGACAGGCAGAGGCCTGTCTACGCTACGGCAGGTATGGCAGGTGCCCAGGGCACCACTTGAAGGGGGCGCCACTGAGCAGTTTCTGTGAACCATCTCCAGCCACGAGAGACCATTCGGCAAGTGAAAAAGAATACTTTTGTGTTTGAGAGCCTTCATGGGTCAAGGAGGACCCCTGTGGTGCAGTGCTTAAAATCCGAGGCTGCTAACTGAAAGGCTGGGAGTTCAAACCCACCAGCCCCTTGGTGGGAGAAAGAGGAAGTTTCTTCCAGGAAGAAACCCTATGGGACAGTTCTACTCAGAATCAACTTGACCGCAGTGGGTTTGTTTTTTGATGTCGTCGTCGTTGTTTTTACAGATATAGAGGGAGAGAGAGAAAAAAAACCACGTGCGCGTGCGCGCGCATACCCACCCCTAGAAAAGGAAAAAAGACTACTTGTTGCCATCAAGTGAATGGCAACTCCTGGCAGTCCCATGTGTGTCACAAGATCCTCAATGGCTGATTTGTTTCCAAAGTAAATGGCCAAGCCGGTCGGTCTTCCAAGGTGCCTCTAAGCGGACTTGAATGAGCAACCTTTCAGTTAGCAGCTGAGTACGGGAACCATTTGCACCACCCAAGGACTCCCATAGAAGGAAAAGGTCAGATACAAAGTATTTTGTAAATTTAAACAGTAAGGAAATACAACAGTCAGGCGGGAAGGGATACCATGGTCACTGCAACATTATTCACAATATCGAAAAGGTGGACGCAACCAATGCCCATCAACAGATAAATGGAGCAACAAAATGTGGTCTGTACGCATATGGAATATTACTCTGCCATAAAAAGGAACAAAGCCCTAATACACGCCACAACATGGTGAACCTTGGGAACATTATGCTGAGTGAAAGAAGACAAGACGCAAGGACAAATATTGTATGAGCCACTTATAAGAAATATCTCGAGCAAATGCAGAGCTACAGAAATTAAATGAGTAGTATCCAGGATCAGGTGTGGAGCAGGGTTTGCTGGGTGTTACAGCTTAAGGGCTAAGAGTTTCTGTTCGGAGTGATGAAAAGGTTTTGGAAATAACTAGTGGTGAGAGTTACACAACATTATGAATACAATCAATGCTACTGAATTGTACACATAAAATGGTTAAAATATCAAATTTTATGATATACAGGTGTGCATCACTTAAGATCTACAATACTTCCTGTGAACACAGGGCATTGTGCAAACACCTGTGGCCTCTGAGGGGTTGCTGAGCGCGCTGGCCCGAGGCTTCAGGACTCGACCTGGGCAGCTCCCACTGTGGATGCCTCAGGTAAGTGTTTGGCCGGTCTGCCCGGCTCTTGCCGCCTCTCTGCTAAGTCAGCTGCAGGGAAGGCCAGCTCACCTGTGAGAACCTGCCCTGGGAGGGGACGGTATGGGCCAAGGGTGCCGAGGGCGCCGGAGCCAGAGCAGGGGCGCCGGGGGCGAATACCTTTCCAAAGGTGCACTACAGGGCCACACCATGCAAAACACAAGGACTAGCCCACTTAGCTATGGGAACCAATGGGAACTGAGCTTGAAAGTTTGAGCCTAGGCTTCCACCACTGCAGACTAGCTGACTGGCTCCCAGGCTGTGTGAAGCAGCAGGCCAGAAGTGGGCCTCCAAACCCACTTGGAAATGACAAGGATCTGTCATCCTGGCGCTCTAACGCCTGGGTGCCCTGGCTTACAGAAGCCAGACATTGCCTGGATGGACATTAAGTGATGATGTGTGTCTCTACATTTTTCCCATTATGAATTAAAAATAAAAAGAGTAAGGGATGGGGGGAGCTCCTCAGAGATAAGAAACTCAGAACTAAGCTTTGGTCTTTCACTGAGGAGCACGGGTCTACTGACAGCACCTAGGGTGGACAGCCTGCTTTGTGCAGCACTGTGCTGGGGTGCTACAGTGAGCCAGACAAAGTCTGGGGGCCCCTGTAAATCTAAGACAATGGTGAATAAAGCCAGGGGAGCCAGGACACTCTCTGAACCCAAGCGGGGAGCTTAGGGGAAGCAATGTGCTGCTGCTCTCATCAACTACTGGTAGAGCTGTGTAGCTGCTGCCATTAGGATCATCCGGCCAGGTGAACACCCTACCCTGAGGACTACGTTTAGTGGCAAGAGAGGTCTGAGAGGGAGCACCCATCCTTGCCGGAGCCGGGGTGGGGTGGGGTGGGTAGAGACAGACTCTGCCACGACTCCTGCTCCAGAGCTCTCTGTAGAATCAGGTTGGGGCTGGACTGCTCCTGACATGGTGACTCAGCGGCTGATGGTTTGAACCCACCCAGCGGCTCTAAAGACCTGGTGATCTGCTTCCATAAAGATTACAGCCAAGAAAATCCGGTGGGGCAGTTCTTATCTGTCACATCGGGTCATTATGAGTTGGAATCACCTTGATGTTATCCTTGCCCTAGCCCACCTGCCAAATTCCTGTAAGTACATCCTCATCAACCATTTGCGTGAGAATCCTTATCTCAGGCTCTGTTTCCAGGGGTTTTGATCTAACATAGTCTTCGAAGTGCCAGGCTCTGTTTCAAGCACTTGGAAAATATTCATTCAGTCACCCTAGCAGCGTACGCAAGTATCCCTACAATGTCATTTGCTCTTTGTTGTTGGGGCCTCCCACTGCTGGGGACCCCATATACATCGAATGAAAGAGGACCCAGTTCTGTGCTATCCACAAGAGTGGTTATGGATCCCTGGTGGTAGGTCAGAGGGTCTTCATCCAATCCGTCTGATTTTCAGAAGTAGATATCCAGGCCTTTCTTCCTAGTCTATCTTAGTCTGGAAGTTCCACTGAAACCTGTTCCGAATCATACCACCACCCCAAACCTCCTTGCCAGTCAGGTCGTGGCTATGCATGAGGTGGACTGGGCAGGCTTCAAGCCTAGGTCTCCTGCATGGAAGGTGAGAATTCAACCACTGGACCTCAAAGGCTTGCATTTGCACATTAATAGGGGAGAAAGGAGTGTGGGTAAGCATGCCAGTGAAGACAGATTAAAGCCCTTCACTGTAAAAGCTTTATCCCCCAGCTCCAGAACATTGAAGGGGGCCCATTGCATTGGGCTCCCTAAATAAGCAGACTCAGAAAAGAAAGTGACCAGAGCTGGGATCGCCAAACTTGTGAATGCCACCATTTGTCCTAGGCATCTGTGGCTGTCCCCATGTACCTGGGATGAAAACAGTATGACAAAGTGGTGAAGGACCTCAGACTCCCCACTTGGTCATGCGTCTGGGAAATCTTGTCTGTGCTTGTGACTTGGCCGGGAGCAGAAGGGAAGCCCTTCTTACAGCGGGGGCATTTTGTGGGGGAAGAAAGATCACATGCACACACAGAACCCTGCAGGGTCCAGTGTCTTTTGTATTAACGGAATGCACAAGTATGCCCTCTTGATCTCCCAGATCTGAGCCACAGCCCTGCCAACAATAAAACTCCCAACATTTGCAGCCCATCCTCCCACCAAGATTTGGGGTGGAAAAATATCTCAGGAAAAATGCACTTCAGCTCCAGGGTACAGGAGATGCTGATAACTTTTGTTCTCTGCTCAGCCCTCCTGGGAAATCCCCTTTCCCCGAGCTGTGAAAATGCACCTCGCTACAACTTGCAGGATACTTTCTTCAGAATGATTGCTAGGGCATAATCTAACAGATTTCTGGCATACCAGACGACCAAACAAAGAGTCTGACGATTGGTCCATTGTCTTGCTCTCTCCAGCCCCTCCCCCGTAGCATAACTTTGAAAAAGGAAGGGACCCAATTGGATCCACACATATTCGATACTTGAGAAGCTTCTGGAAAAGTGAGCACTTGTGAAGGCTGCAATCATCATGTCTAAAATGAGAAGAATAAATCCTGCCCGAGAAGTCTCGCCTACCTCATATAAACAATCGCGAGTTCTAGGAAGTGACACATTGGGTAATTCTACACATTGTGCATGGAGGAACCCGGAAATGAGCCGCACTGGGGCTGGATAAGAAATGGTTCATTGTCTGGCGGCCTTTAAATGCTGGGATGGTTCTCCAAGTGTGGGCACTTCAGCGACATTTAAATAATGCAAATCCACAAGGAGATGAGAAGGTGCTGTTCTGGTTCCTTCCTGCCTTTTTGGTTTTAGGGACAGCCAAGAAGGGGGATTGCAAAGATCCCGACATGCAGGAGAGGCGTGGGGTGATGCTTTATTTCATGGCTCTATGGTTTGCGGTTTCTGAGTCACTTGTAACCGAGAAAGACATTGCTGAGATTGCGGGTGTGGATGGTAGCCTGGGAGGACTTTGCAGCTGTGGGACTTCCATCGTTT